GAATCGAGCCGGGTAGGACCACAAAGGCGGCAAAGCTCTCCCTCAAGAGTTTTACCGCTGCTGCATTTCCAGGGCTCGAACACGAGACCACTGGTTAAGCTGGAAGAGACTCAAACCATCTCATCCAAGCGCTCTTGAGTAGTGTGTATTAAGTTTTATTCATATACAAACACACTCTAACATATACATACAGAAAGGTACAATTAGAATTATGGAAATGCTACAGTCCTGTTACGGAACCATTCAGTTGGGATTTGTAACCGTTAGATCATCATGTAACCGTCGTGGATAGTTGATCTAACGGTTACAAATCTCGACAGATTGTTCTGTAATGGGACTGCTAGAATTATTAAATGAGATGACTAGAGATATCATAATTATTTACAAATAGTGCATTTAGCACGTATTATAAAGTGAATATGTTTTAAAACATGTATTATTACATGTACACAATATGTTAGATGTTAGGCAGATTTGGAGTGTCATTATTCATACTTTCTAACAAATATGTTTAGATGTTAGGCATATTGTAAGTTGTAACAAATAATAGAAATGAAAATAAGATATTTTTCATTTATAATATGAATTTTTATTTGAAATGTTGATTTTAGTGAGCTGAGTTATGAATGAAACATGATACTTTCTTTGTATTATACTAAAGGAATTCAATTGATGAGCCCACATTTTACGGTCACTTTTGAGCAACTTTTTTCCACGGGCAACATGAAAAGAAGAGAAAGGTAAAAGGGGTGAAGAAATTCGTTCCCTCAAAACAACTTCATCTTCGGTCTGTCACCACATTGGATTCGCCACATCAATATATTTAATTAATTATAATAATAAATATCTATTCCAAGTTGGAGATCTAATTCAAAATTTGGTCTATGGCCAGCATAAGGAAAAAAATCTAATTCACCTCGATACAAAAGTATATTAAGTTTTTCAAATCGTACCGCTCACTAATAATCTGATTTTTCATCTCGGAAAGTGTGAAAGTTATGTGAATGAACTGCATAACTGTCGCATATTTATCCACAATGCATTCGCACTTTAACTTTTTTTTCACCCCACAAAGTGCGAAGGATATGCGAATGCCTTCGCACTTTTAACTTCCGCACAATGTCATCACACAATTGTCGCATATTCATCGCACAATGTCTTTCGCATTTTAATTTTTTTTAACCACAGAAAGTGCGAAGGATATGCGAATGTCTTCGCACTTTTAACTTTCCCACAATATCATCGCGCAATTGTCGCATATTCATCGCACAATGCCTTTCGCACTTTCTGGGTGAAAAACTTAGTTTTTTATTGAGCGGTGTGAAAAATTTAGCAGTACTTCAAAAAGGGATGAAAATAGCTATTTTCACTTCACGTAATGCTTATGAATGTTTTGTTATGAAGCCAATAATTGGCTTCATAGTGGAGTCAACCTCCTATATACAACAAATAAATCTTCCATATTAATAAAATTATATTAATATAATTTAAGTAGTCAAATAATATGGTAAATTTACTTGTTGTATATAGAAAGTTGGTTCCACTATAGAGCCAATTATTAGCTTCATAGCAAAACTGATGCATATGAAAGCCTAACACCATCTCCAACCTCCATTCTACTCATTCTACTCTAGCCAAATTTAAAGTTTCATTTGCAACCCTTCGAACTATATTTTACTCTACATCAAATATATTATTTTTTTGTACCAAAATAACAAAATATATATATATTATTATTTATTTATTTTATTTCAAATAAAAATGGTATATATATGTATATTTAATCTTATATAAATTTTTATTACATAAATAATAAAAATATGTCCATGTTAACAACACGAAACTGCTCCATAAGTTGAAACAATAGGAATACAAAAAGTATGTATTTAATTTTTATTCATATAGTATCATTTTAATATTAAAAAATTACAAAAAAAATTATAATACATCAATAAGTAAAAATACAAAATCATTTAGCATAAAAATACATTGCACACACTTATTTAGCATAAAAAATATATTTGCTAATACACATTATACAAAATCATTAATATTACATTAAAATACAAAAAAAAAAATGTAGAGATGCTACAGTGTTGCACCAGATGTGGCGCAACATTGTTGCTATCTCTAAAATAACGTAGATGTTTGGCGCAACACTGGAGGGTGATTTTGCGCTATAATAACACATTTTTGAGAGATAGCGTAGGATTGGAGTTACTCTAAAAAATTACTTCGAAGTAATGATATAAATAATGCTAAAGTATGTAACATATATAGCTGAAAAATTAAATAATCATTTATAATTTTTTAAAAAAATACTACCTAAATCTTTTTTGTTTATACATTTCAACATATAATTCTAAAAAGAAAAAAAAAAAATGTTCTTTTCGGCTTCATTTACTTATCTTAATGCATGTTATATTATAAGGAATGACTATAGTTACATAATCATTCCGTCACCGTTTTTAACTGTAGATATTCGCACTGCACTAATCCACATGTGTATCTAATAATTACAAACACTGACGAAATGATTTGATAACGGAACTGTATTAATTCTCTTTTTAACTTACTTACCAATCAATCCTCTCTTAGTAGCACTGTCCATATGGGTCAAAAGCCCATACGGTGGCCCATAAAAGAGTAAAAAGAATGGATTTAAGCCACCTCTCACCCAGCCCATTTGGACGCTGGGGGCATTCAGCACTTTCTTACCCTTTTTAAGTCGAGGAAATTACTTGGGGCACGAGTCCAAAACTATTTATTTGAAATTTTACACTCCAATGATAAACTATAACAAGATTACAAAATCTTATAATTTTTATTGCAATTATACCACACATTAAATGTATAAGTAATAATATGTTTTATTCAATGAACACGGATCTTGCAGGATAAGTCACCAAAATAATCATCCTCTCCTCTCACAAGTCTGAACTTCCCCATCTCTCACGACATTTTATCTCTCTTTCTCCCTCTCTATTATCCTCTCTCTCTCATCATCTTCTTGTTCTTCTACAATCCGCGATGTTCTCCTCCACCCCACCGCTCCTCCCTTTTAATTTTTTTTTGGGTAAAGATAGAGGCCCACTTGAATTCCTCAATCATTATATATATGCACAACAAAAAACGTGAAAAGAAGACAAAAGCCTTAAAATTTCAATTCATCGTTGAGCAATGGCGATAAAAAACACACAACCATGGTTGCAGGAGTTCGAACAGTTGAAGATAAACGATGACAACGACAATTCAATGGGTAGCGATTATGACGAGGCAGCCGAAGCCGAAGCTGAAGCCTGGTGGGAAGCCTTCAACCGTGAAAGAAGCGAGAAATCGAAGCAGGTTGCCCCAAAATTTCCTCAAACAAAGTCGAAAAGAATCAGATTGCATAGGTATTCATCCTACAAGCCTTCAAATTGGAAGAAGCGAAAAAAACGAAGCAGGTTGCCCAGGATTTCCTCCAACCGAAAGAAATAGATCTCCGCGGGATTCTGATTTTTTAGGACGAATTTTAAACAAGAAATATAAAAGTTTTAATTTTTATATGTTAAGTATATTGTATGTATATAATTCATCTTGTATTAAATAGTTTCGAAGTTGTTATTTTATCAATAACATTAGATTGTATATGTTATGTATATGTAATGTATATGTGACAAATTTTTTGTGTTAGTGGGATTTTTTTTGGAGCAACTGTGTATGTTCATTAACTAATATCTGTATTGGGTATGCTAATAGTTTATGATATATATATATATATATATATATATATATATCTTGGAGCAGCTGTATATGTTCATTAACTGATATGTTTATTTCTTTATGGTGTATATTCAGCATATGTTTAAGCAAATGTAAAGATATTACTTGGTATATATTAAGTATATTGTTGGAATATTATGTATATTCATTAACTGATTTCTGTGATCGTGTATATTATGTATATTTCTTATCGTGATTTTGTTGTATATTGAGAGAGTGTACGTTTATATATTTTACATAATTATGTATATTTTGCGTTTATAGACAGTATAAATAAATGGACTTAACTGATTGTAACAATAACACATATCAAACACCAGAAAAATACACAAACATTTCAATTCGTTTTTCAGCACTAAAAAATTATAGATTCTGTATACGAAACATATACCTACAATATACAACATATAAACTGATCATATACCATACATAAATATTAATAAACACTAGATAAATATTAATTCAGAAAACGATTTGAATATATCAAATCGAATCCAAGACCCGAATTAAGACTCAAAACTGCGGTTATGACTATGGTCATTTTCTCCGCTCGATCCCCCTATGTGCTGCCTCGATATTGGACCTAAGCTCCGACAACCCGCCGCATCCCGGACTGGATTATGGA